GTCGGTTCTGACTCACAGTGACCCCTTGTTGGCAGCGTGGAACCACCCCCTAGCGTTTCCTTGGCTGTAATCTTTATGGAAGTAGACCGTCAGGCCTTTTTCCCTCACCGCTGGGGGGGTTCATCAACCACCGCACCCTAAGGGTTTAGGGTCAGGCACAGGGGTTACGACTCTGTAAGGTGGATCTGAGCCCCACACTCAGCCACCTCCTTCTCCTCCACCTTGCTTCAGGGTCTTTGCACCTGTCATCCCCACTCCCTGGGATGCTGCTGGGTGGGTTCAAACCACCAACCTTCAGGTGACTACTGGAGCATAAACCGTTGTATCAGCCAAGGGTCTTCTATGGAACAGGCACATTTCTTGAGACCTGGCTGGGGGCCACCGGGCTGCCTGGGACCTTTCTGACATGTCTCTGAGGTCATGCAGCGGCTCTGGCCTCTGGGCTGGTGGCTACCTTCCTGTTAAGGCCGAAATCTGACCCCTCCATCTCTTTCTGCCCAAGGCCATCTCCCCTCCCAGCAACCAGAGCTAGAAGGATGAGAATACCGATCAAGTTCACCTGAGCCCTTCTTGGAACAAGATCCTTCAGTCTTGTGCTGCAGAGAAAGTTTGCTGTAGACCACTAAAAACACAGACATACTGATCTCCTTAGTTAACTTCAGAATCTCTGTCTCCCCAGCCTTCCTCTCTCAGGAGCCTCGTTCTTCTCCCCGTCTCCCTATCGAGTCCGTTCCAACCCATAGGGACCTTCTAGACAGCGGAGAACTGTCGCATCTTTCTCCCGCGGAGCAGCTGGGGGGTTTAAACCACCGGCCTCTTAGTTAGCCGCCAAGCACCCAGCCCCTGTACCACCAGGGCTCCGCCAGAGCCAAGCAGCTCCCAGTTATCAGTCCTTGTTTCACCCCCACATGGCTCCCAGTTGCAGATGCCTTACCTGGTTTAACCCTCAATCCCACGTCATAGGTTCTCTGTTCTCTGCTTCACAGAGGCGGAGACAGGAGCTAGAACAAGGTGATGTCCTTGGCAGCAGGCTGCTGGGCCTGGATGCCCCGAGCTCCTGCTTTGGGAAGAACCCCCTGGAAGGATTCCTGGCTCTGGCCTTCCCCCCTGGTTAAGGGTGGGGTCACTGCAGAAGCACAGCCAGGGGCACAGGGGGCACCCCTCCCCAGCACAAGCGTCAAGAGGCCCCCCTTTGAAGGGAATATGGTGATGTGACTGTTTCTTTCATATTAAAAAAAGTTAATGTAACTACATAAAACATGACCCATTTTTATTTTTTTAAATTAAAAATTTTAATGTAACTATGTAAAAATGGTTAAATTACCAGTATTTTCCAATCACTAAAGTAATATGTACTCCTTTTAGAAGAAAAAATGTTGAAATACATCAAAAATAACATTTCATCACCTATGATTCTATTAACCACAGATAAAACTATTAATATTTTATGATGTGTTTTCTTTCAGAAGTAAATAGCAGCCAGACAGGTACAGTTTGTACAATATGTTGACAGGACCGGTTGTACAGATGACCAGGACAGGCCCTTCGAGGGGCCAGTGGAATAACAACAAAGGAGTTAAACGTGGGGCCCTTTTCTGAGCCCTTACCGGCCCTGCGATGGTTCCTCCAGAGGTCCGACCCTTGGGTGGGTGGGTGGCTTCCAGTGCGCACAGCCTGTGTGTGGAGAAGCCCTGGGCTGGAGCGGCCCGGGCTGCAGCCAGCCTGTCCCGCCAGGCCTCCTCACCTGTGGACTGGCAGTGCGGCATCCGGCAGGGTGGAGATGGGGTCGGAACCACCCAGTTTCCTCCCCGGCTGCTGCTCAGGGACTGACCGTTGGCCGAGGGGGGCAGCTGAGGGTTAGGGAACAGGTGCTGGAGCCCCCTGGCCTCGCCCGCGCCGGCACAGGGTCCTGCACCCAGCCTGTAAGTGCTCCCCAGATCCAACTTCTCTCCCCCTGCTGCTCGCCTGCCCTCCAGCTTCACCCTCCCTGTGAAGTGCACCCAAAGCAAACCCACTGCCCGTGAGTGGCTCCCCACCCACAGCAACCCTGCGAGGCACAGGAGAACGCCCACAGGGCTTCCAAGGCCGTCACGTTCACTGTCCCAGCTTTCTCCCGAGCGGCAGCGGGTGGTTTCAGTTGCTGAAAGCAGGTCTTGGCCAGGGTTCCTAGCCTCACCCCCATCCTGCTGGACAAGACCTGGTCCAAGACCCTGCTCAGCTGCCGGAGGGGGGGCCTCTCTTCCCAGGTGGTTTCAGGCAGCACAGGGAGAGACAGGCAGAGACAGAGAGGCGGGAAGAGACAGAGAGACAGGCAGAGACAGAAGAGAGAGAAACACACACAGAGACAAAGAGAAAGAGACACAGACAGAGAGAG